GAGGGCCAGTCGGAAGGACAGCCAAGCAGACGAATGTGCGCCGGCCGGTGGAGCTGCAGACCCCCGAGCCCGCAGGGTCTGCGCTGGAGGGCTCGGAGCAGTTGCCGCCGTTCCCAGACCGGGGTGGCCCTCCCGTGGCCTGCGCCCTCACGTGCTGCTCTTGGCCGTCCTTCCTGTCCCTCAGGCAGGTGGAGCCTGCCTCTTCCCGCGGACTCCGGCGTCGGGAGGCAGCTGGCCTTCCCGAGGTCAGGGCAGGCTGCACCCTGGTATTCCCATGCACGCCCCTGGGCTCCGATAGGGTCGGGCGGCCCCCTGCGTGCTCTCTTCTGGGCTCCCTGGCTTCCAGTGCTCACCTGCCCGCTTGTCTGACGGCCGGCCCCCAGGGCCTGCTGGGGGGGGACCTCCTCCAGCTGTCCAGCTCTCTGCACGCCCTGGTCTTGGGGTGTTCATTCTAACCGTAATTCTGACCCTGCATCTGGCAGGGGTCAGCACAGAGAGCTGGGCAGCTAGACGGCAACCCAGTGCCCACCTACCGACCGTGCTGGCCTGCCTTTCTCCAGGGAGGAGACTCCAAGGTTCCCAGTGTCCCCAGGACAGACGAGAAGGTAGACAGAGCAGGCAGCGTCTGCTTGGTCACCCAGGCCTCCAGGGGACTTTCCTACCTGGGGAGAAGGTGGGTTTTCCAGCGACTCCCCTGGCCAGTACCTGCCAGGACCCTCTGTCACTGTGGAGTAAGATTCAGAAGACAGCATCTCAAGAAAAGGTAAAGTCTGCGACCAGTAGTTGGTGTAATGGCTATGTCGCTGGACTCCCATGTAGTCGACCGCAGTTCAAGTCCCAGGCCCGTGGCTTAAACTCATGCTGGGCGCGTGTGCATGCGTGCCCAAGATCCGGAAAGGAGAATGGAGAAGGGATTGCGGCATGGCCATCCCCCCTGGGGGGTGATTTCTTGCTTTCTGTCTCTCTGTCTGGAGAGTGCACAAGCACTGTAGCAAAAACCTCTCAAAAAAAAAAAAAAATCCTGGACCTGGTGGCTTCAACTCATGACCAGGCGCACATACCCTATAGCAAAAGTCTCAAAAAAAAAGCAAGCAAGCAAGCTGTAGGGGCTCTGAAGCCGGAGGTGCCCCAGCCTGCCTGCCAGGACAGTGGAGGGTTATTTCTTTTAAAAAAAAATTATTTTAGAATTGTTTCATTTTATTTATTATTTTTAATTTGCTATAGGACACATGCACTCACCAGAGAGAGAGAGAAGAAAAAGTGAGAAAGCAAGCCGCCAGGTCCGGGACACGAACCATGGTCAACCATGTGGGAGCGTCCAGTGCTTTAACCACCATGCCACCTGCTGGTCCTTGGTTTCTTTTTTTTAAATTATTTTTAGAGGGACCAGCAGTTCTTCTGATGGCTATGTCATTGTATTCCCATGTAGTCGGCCACAGTTCGAGTCCCGGACCCAGTGGCTTAAACTCACGCTGGGCGCGTGTGAGTGCATGCCCAAGATCCCGAGAGGAGAATGGAGGAGAAGGGATTGTGGCGTGCCCATCCACCCGGGGGGGTGATTTCTCGCTTTCTGTCTCTCTGTCTCTCTGTCTTTCTGGTGAGCACACGTGCCCTATAGCAAAAACCTCTCAAAAAAAACTCTCCAAAAATTATTTTTAGAAAGATTTAATTGTATTTATTATTACTTTAGTTTGGTACAGGACACATACGCTCACTAGGGAGAAAGAGAGAGCGAGAGAGCGGGAAAGTGAGAAAGCGAGCCACGGGGTCTGGGATTTGAATCTTGTGAGTTCACCACCTGAACCACATGCCACCTGCTGGCCGCAGGAGGTTTTTTTGTTTTTGTTTTTAATAGGGCAATCAGGCGATTTTGGGAGCCTGTCTGGAGACTGAGGTGCAGGGAGTCTTTGACCCCCCCCACCCCAGGGACCTGTCAGTATGCCTGTGTGTCGCTGCTCCCTGGGCAGTGTGACCTCGCTGCAGCAGCTCCTGCCCAGACAGGTCTGCAGAGGTTGGGCTGCACCAGGCGCTGCTCAGAAGAGCTAGGCTGGGTGGGACCTGCACCAGAGACTGGGCAGCTCTGGCCTGCTTGTGTCCAGAGGGCGGGGACTTCCTCTGCTCCAGCCTGCCGCAGCCCTTTACTGCCCCACGGGGACATGCGACGTGCAGGCCCACTCGCTCCTGCTGCGGCCACCTCTCCACTGAGCTGCCCTTCCAGGGACAGGCTGCAGCCACCCTCCACACCCCTGCCTGTCCCCTTGTCTCTGGCACCAAGGTGCTCTCAGCTCTGACCCCAGAGGAGTCATGCTCGACTGTCTGTCTGCCTCCTCGGACTCTGCCCAGGAAGCATCCACAGAGGCCACATGCCCGTCCTGTACCAGCCCAGGCCCAGTCTGCAGACCGGGGATGGGGTGGGGGGGGTGGGGGGGACTGAGCACGCTAGGCTGAGCTGCGGGTCAGCAGGCTTCCCTGTCCGTGCGGGAGGAGGTGCTCAGAGAGAGGAGTACGTAGAGCCTCTCAGGAGAGGGGAGCCTGGGGTTGACAGCCCAGGAGCCCTGGAGCCAGCCCTGCCTCCCATGGAGGGACACTGCAGGGCAGGACACTGTGGCCAGCGGGGGCCTCACCGCCTACGGGCAGCTCGGGGGAACAGATGCCTCTTTTGGCTTCCAGAAGGCTCCTGCAGTGCCTCTCCGGGGGAGTGGGGCAGGAGCAGCAGCTTCCTGACAGGCCAGACCTCACTCTCCAGCCACTCTTGCAAGGTGGGATCCTCATGGTCACTTTCTCTTTGTGACCTTGGCCCCGTCCAGCATGGGGCCTGCCCAGGATGGGGCTGGATGGACCCTTCCTTCCGAGTTCGAGGAGCCAGACCGCCCAGCAGGTTTTTTCGTGTTGGTGGGGGGGGCTGCCCCGGGCCACTCCAGCGGGGACTCTGTGGCTGGGTCTCTGGGCCCTGGCCCCAGGCCCCGGCCCCTGGGCCCCAGGCGCTGCTCCTTCCTCTTGGGCACCCGAAATAGATGCCTGCCTGTCTCCTCAGAGGCCCGCGGCTCTAGGCAGGGCTGTGCCCGGGGTCTGTGCCAGCCTCCACACCCCCAGGCCCCAAGCCTGGTCCTGTAGCAGGGGCAGCTGCGCAGTTCCCCAACCTGAAGGCAGCTGTGTGCGGCGGGCACCTACAGAACTGCCCCGTGGAGGTGGCAGTGGCCGGGACAGGGTCCGTGCGAGGCCTGCGCACCGCTGTCTGGGACTTGGCGGGTGAGCGGGGCTGCCTGGTCCCAGGCTCTGTCTGCGTGAATACCACACGTGCACTGTGTAGACCGCGGCCCAACCCTCATCCCCAAGGTCGTACCAGGACCAAGAACCATCAGCCTACTTTTTAATATAAAAAAGAGCAATGAAAAATTTATTTATAAACTTTCCACACTGGGCTACAAGTCTATTCGTACACTCAGAACGTGCTGCAGACTTGATCCAGTTAGAAGTGGTCCTGCCGTGACCCACACACAGCTGCCGTCCAAGCCTAGAAAGTCTTAACATTAATTAACATAATTAAAAAGGTATTTGCATCTAGAAAAAATATACAGGACTCCTTGTGGAGTAATCTGTGCCTCCATTTCAATGTCTGCTTGTCTCGCTGACATCACCGCTTTCTCCTCCGTTTACACGGCGGAGGACTGCCCGAGTGTGACCGGCCGCGCACAAAGGGCCCCCACCCACCTGTGTCCTCAAGTGCTCCCCATTTTTGCACGAAGGGTCAGCAGCACTTGCCCGAAGGGAGACCTCATTTAAATGTGAATAACTCAGCCTCCTTTTTATTCCTCAGGATCAAAACAAGCAGGGGTGTGGGGTTGCATAGAAAATTGGAGCCGGAGACAGGAAGGGCGCCTTTCAGGACGGAAAGTGACGCGCGACCGCGAAGCCCCTCCCCCACGGCAGGGTTTCGGGTGGGAATCGGGTCCTCGAAGCTCCCGCGGGCTGAAGCGGGGCAGAACGGTCCTTCAGTTCGCTCAGCAATTAGCACAAGAGATTCACAGTCTTATAGGTATTTATAAAAATATAAATATGGGTACACTCTGTTGCCTTCACAACGCTGGATACAACGCCCCTTAAAATTGGGTTTATAACCAAGATTCAAATAGTACACCTAACACTTGGCTTATAATATGTTAATATTTTATAGTCATAAATGTTATGACATTTAACTGTGGCAAATCCATTTACTTTTTTTAAAAGTGTGCAACCGACCGTTAGCTATAACAACGCACTAGGAAAGAGAACGCCCGCGGCCGCCACCTTCCGCTCTCCAGCACAGCCAGCTCCAGAGCCCGAGCCCTGGCACTGCCAGGCCCGCCGCGCGGGGGCGTCGCCTCGCGGGCGGAGGACTGGCGAGTGAAGGGGCCTGGCTGGGCGGGGAGAGGGGCCACCGCGGGGAACCATCAGGCTGGGCGGTATTTTCAGTGCAACCAAGAAGCGGGAGACTCAAGTTTTTTAGTTTTAAGACTAGAAAAAAATGCATCTTCTCCCCGTAACCACACTGACTACGCACAATATTTTCCAGACAAAAGATCCAGGCGCACAAACTTCACCCACAGAGAAACACACACAGGATAAATAGTTTAGGACACCCACAACCACGCAGCGCCTCCTCCCTGCCCCGCGCTGGCTGCTCCGCGGCAGCTGACTCCGGGCGCGTCCTTGCCACGGGGCGGGTGCTGCAGGCGGCGCGGGGCGTCCCGAGTCCGCAGTCCTCCCACCCCGCCCTCCGTTCACCTCCGGTAGAAAACTTTGAGCAGAGGATCCAGTATCTCGGGATTCCGAACTTGCTCGTTGCGCGACTCAAGTTTCAAAAGGGGCTGGCGCCTGCGCCCCGCCCCCACCCGGGAGGACGCGGACGGGCG